ACTGAGCTGTGATGATGCCGTGTCACTCTACCCAGGGTGACAGTGAGATTCTGCCCCAAATAAATAAATAAATAAATTGACTGCCACCACTAATGGAATACAAGGACAGTATATTACAAGGAAAATGTTCCTAACAACTAATATGAACTAGGAAAATGATTAAGTAATCATTTTTTTTTTTTTGAGATGGAGCCTCAAGCTATCCCCCTGGGTAGAGTGCTATGGCCTCACAGCTCACAGCAACAACTCTTGGGCTCAAGCGAGTCTCCTGCCTCCGCCTCCCAAGTAGCTGGGACTACAGGCGCCCGCCACAGCGCCAGCCATTTTTTGGTTGCAGCCATCATTGTTGTTTGGCGGCCCGGGCTGGGGATTCGAACCCGCCACCTTAGGTGTATGTGGCTGGCGCCTTAGCCGATTGAGCCACAGGCGCCGAGCCGTAAGTAATCATTTTAAAAGAGGTTAAGAAGGCTTTCAGTAAAATTCAACATCTATTCCTGATTGAAATGTTGGAGGAAGAAGCATATCAGCTAAGATGATCATGTTCAGAGAAGAAAGGCAGGGCTACAGTAAGTCTAGATAACTAATTAGGCAGCAACTAGAACAAAAATAACAGCAAGAACATTTGAAGTCCTAAATACAACGTTTGTATTCAAAAGGTCTAAAGAAATAAAAACTTTTTAAAATAAAGAACATGACTAAAAATCTAAGAAAGTCAACTAAAACAAAGCAACAGCAGCCACAACAAAAAATCCAAGAAGTGATGAGTTCAAAGTCACAGGGTCCAAGATAATAGTTTTTAAAAATCAAATGTATCCCCCCAAATTAGGGCTGGGTGAAGTGGCTCACGCCTGTAATCCTAACACTTGGGAGGCCAAGGTGGGTGGACTGCCTGAGCACACAGGTTTGAGACCAGCCTGAGCCAGAGCGAAACCTCGTCTCTAAAAATATCCAGGCATTGTGGTGGGGGCCTGTAGTCCCAGCTACTCGGGAGCCTGAGAGTTTGAGGTTGCTGTGAGCTGTGATGCTACAGCACTCTGCTGAGGGGGACAAAGTGAGACTCTGTTTCAAACAAACAAACAAACAAACAAACAAAAAAACGAAGAAGAAAATACAGCATAAAGAGCTTCTATTTACAATGTAACCAAAACAAATTACACTCAAAATTTAGTACATATAACATTAAGTTACATTTAGTACATGTAACATTTAAGTATTCATTTTAAAAATCTGAAAATAAATAAATAAGAAATCTGAAAAGCACAATGAGAGAAATAAAGAAAACATGGCTACATGGAGAGCTAAACTAAACTGCCACTTGAGAAGAGAGAATGAGTAAACACAATGATAAGTTGCCACAGGCTTGGTGCCTGTAGCTCAGCAGCTAGGGCTCCAGCCATACACCGGAGCTGGTGGGTTTGAATCCAGCCCAGGCCTGCCAAACAACAATGACAACTACAACCAAAAAATACTGAGCATTGTGATGGACGCCTGTGGTCCCAGCTGCTTGGGAGGCTGAGGCAGGAGAATTGCTTAAGCCCAGGAATTTGAGGTTGCTATGAGCTGTGATGCCATAGCACTCTACCAAAGGCGACAGAGTGAGACATTGTCTCAAAAAAAAAAAAAAAAAAAAAAGAGTTACTATACAAAAGTTGATCCAGTATCAATTAAACTCTTCACTATATTTTTATAAAACATGACATGTTGGTTGTGACATTCAGCTGCAAGAGTAATCAGGCGAGAATCTCAAAGGTTTTTGTACGTAATTATGAAGCAAATGAAGAGATAACTATGATGCTGGTGTATAGTATAGCAGATATTAAAACATATCAGACCAAAGTGACTATTATCAAAACTTTATAACATTAAGCTAAAACCTGAAAACTCACCCTTCATTCAATACCGTTCTCTTTTATTCATAAGTACTTAGTATCTCAAATTTAGATAGATGTAATGTGTAAAATTATATACATATAATTTAAATATTTTTATTTACACTTTGACACCTCCAGAATAATTTCTATGAAGATAGGAATTCTTTTTCTTTTGTTCAACATCTTTTTTTTTGAGACAGAGTCTCACTTTGTCACCCTCAGTAGAGTGCTGTGGCATCACAGCTCACAGCAACCTCCAGCTCTTGGACTTAGGTGATTCTCTTGCTTCAGTCTCCCAAGTAGCTGGGACTACAGTCACCTGCCACAACGCCCGGCTATTTTTTTGTTGCAGTTTGGCCGGGACCGGGTTTGAACCCACCACCCTCAGTATATGGGGCCAGTGACCTACTCACTGAGCCACAGGCACTACCCTATTCAACATCTTTATACTCAGCATCTAATACAATAGATATTTCAGGGGCTAGGTCTACAGCCACGAATAAGCAGGAAAGGTCCTTGGCTTCATGGAGAATCAGACAACAAGTCAACCAGACAGGTCAACAGATAAATAGGATAATTTCACAGGGTAAAATGTGCTGTGAAGACCACAAGTAATGGATAGAGGGTTGAGGCAGGAGGGTGACTTTGGATGTGGCGATCAGAGAAGACCTCTCAGAAGAGGTGGATTTCTGAACTAAGACTTGTAGAACAGAAGGGGGTTTCCAAAAATAATTTCAAATGATTTTATCTCCACAAAGTTGCTGTTGGGAACCTGCCATGTCCAAAGTTAGGCCAAGTGTTGTTGTCACATAGATGATGCATAGAAGAACTTAGCAATTTTGACCTTAGTTCTAAACTCATAAGAATTTTATGATCTACATTAAACACAAAGACTAGGAGAAAATGTTTGTAACGTGCATGACAAGAGGTTTCTACAATATACAAAAGAAAACAGTGGGAAATTGGGCAAATGATAAGAAGGACAATTCATGAAAAGATATATAAAGTTCAGAAGGCCAATAAACCAAGAGAAAATTCTCACATAGACAACCAAGAAATGCCGAATAAAACTACCAAAGTCCACCAATTATACCGGTAAAAATGTAAAAGATCAAGGTCATTCAGTGTGATCAAAGATGTAATGAGTGCACATTTTTGCATCTTGTTGGTATATGTGCTGCTGAAGCAAGCACGTTTTTGCTGCTTGTTGGGGTATAGATAGATAAAGCTCTTTTAGGAGCAATTGGCAGAGTCTTTTAAGATTTTAAATGAGTGTACCCTATGACTCAGCAACAGGAAATTGATTCAACAGAAATAGAAGCTCAATGGCCTAAAGATACCTATACATCAGGATGACAGTGTGGCAATGGTCTTAATGGTTAAAAAAAAAAGAAAGAAAGAAAGAAAGGAAAATATCCTATAAATCCATTGTAGTGGGAAGGATAGAATTGACCAAATATAGAATGCCTTGTAGCCACATTAAAAAAATAAGCTTAATGAGACAGGTTGATAAATGAGAGCTGAATGATTGTATAAAAAATTTAAAATATCTTCTTTTAGATATTTCTTTGTGCAAAAGGAGAAAAAAGACTTGAAGGCTATGCAGCACATTGCTAACAGCAGTAACTTGAGCAGTGGAGACTCTGAGTTTGGAGGGAGGGAGAGTGGGACTTTCAGTGTTTATCTTACACATTTTTAATAAAGAAGAAAAGTCCAATCTATTAAGGAAATAGACTATCACTTACCCCAGCTGAGAAGGGAACATTTCTATTTCTGAGTATGGAAAGGGGATGATTGCATCAGCCCCAAGATGATGTTTTCAGGTGTAATCATATTTTTAAGAAGCATGACCAACCAAAATGCGATTAAATAAATGTCAAACAACAGAAAGGGAGAAATGTCTGTGACACGCATAACTGAAACAATACATAAATGATTGATAGAGACACATAGCTACTTCAGCTCCTTCTGCAAAAGAGGTAGACTGCAGTCTACACGTAAAGCACATGCGCCGTTAATACAGTCCAAGCACTTAGGGAGATGCAGAGAATGTGAGTGGAAGAGATAAATAAGTACATCATTTCAAAATGAAGAAATGCAGTGGTAGCACGTAGAAAGCACATTTTTACTCCCACTAGGAAGAGTGGCACATTAAGCCAAAAATAAGCCTAACACTCAATTCAAAGCTGTTTACTGCACACAGTCTGCACATGTCAAACGGGGCTGTATGCCGAGCACCTCACTTTAATCCTCACTCTTGCCACCTTATAAAGTAGCTAGTAGCCCCCTTTACGAGAAGGAAAGAGGGGCACAGAGAGGTTAGGTAACTTGCCCAAAGCCACAACGCTGGCAGGCTGAGCAGTCAGGACTCAAACCCAGGACTGATTCAAAAGCCCACAATCTTTTCTATTCTATTCTGCTAACTGATCGCCTAAAACTACAAGATCTAACTCAACACTGGGGGAGAGTTGTGCCTCACTGACCGGCACACACACACAGAGTACCTGGCTTTATTTTTTGTCAGCTATCTGGTATAGGTCAAAGCCTCAGAAGACCACAGGACTATATGAGGGCTTTGTTGTAGTCTCGCCTCAAAGGGAAAATCTCTCTGTAGCAGAGCCTGCTCTGGTCACCCTCAAAACCCAAAGACTGAGAATTCTGGATGCCTGATGAGAATTTGCATGAGGCCTTTGTGAGGCCAGATGTGGGTGGTTGCCATGGCAACCACAGGTCCTGGGGCTGGGGGGCTCCCAGTGCCCCTGACACTCACTCTGCCTCCTCACTCCTCACCATATTTCCCACCTGCCAGTATCCCGTGGCATCTTCATCATTTAGGCAGCCTTTCCTCCGCTTCCTGAGGCCCTGCTCATCACTCCTCATCTCCTCCTCACCTCTTCACCCACTCAAGACTCCTAGTCCCAGGCTCTTCTCATCCCTCACGTCTCACTCCACTTCTTCCTCCTCCTCCCCCTTTCCCCGCCTCTGGCACCTGACTCCCTCTTTCTGTCTGTAGCCACAGCCCTGCCTCCCTCTCTTCGCCCTCTCCCCTCTCACTGCCCCCACACCGCCCACCCTCTTGGCTTCCTTCCCACTACCTGAGCTCGGCCAGCTATATCCAGGACAGTAAGTATGGGGGGTGGACAGAAAAAAGGGACGGTGACTCCTCATGAGCACAATCCACGCTCAAGATCTAAAAAGAGGACCAAATCGGGTAAGAAAACAAAGATGAAGAAGAAAAATAAGAGAGATTTAGAGGAACTGAAGAAGGAAGTGATCATGGTAAGAACACCCAAAACAGATGCTGACAAGTTGCCCTCTGAAAACACTCCTCTGCCTTCAGCTTAAATGTCTTTTAACTTCTTCCCTTGAGAATTAACCCCTCAGGCCACAGCCATCCCCCTTCTCCAGGAGGTTTCTCCCTCCCTAGAATTGACCTGGGGTCACCACTTCAAGAAGGTGGGGTCAGCAGGTCGTCGAGGGGTCACCACCTCAATGACTCTACTGTCCGCACAGGATGATCACAAGTTAACCTTGGAAGAGCTGAGTGCCAAGTATTCCGTGGACCTAACAAAGGTGAGTAAGGAACTTTTTGAGGGAGGTGGAGGGTCTCCGACTCTGACTTTGAGGCTGCCAGGACAAAAGTTGAGCTGAAACACATTCTTCTTAGTAGAGTATCTCAAAAATGGCGGGGGGGTGGGGTGGGGGGAAGTATCCAATATACTTAGTACTAATATGAAACCAATATATAAACAACTATATGCCCACCAGAAAGAAAAACAAATATAGTCTGGCAAGGGGAGGGGAGAGGTGGGAGAGGAGAGGGAGGAAGGAGGGAGGGTGACTGGCGGGATCTCATCTAATGTGCACAATGTGAGGGTGTTCAGCACATCCCCTGGGTGAAGGGATCAGCTACAACTTAAACTTTATCTGAACTGAAAACAATGTAACTGTTAGGGGCAAAATTATTACCACTGAGAGTCCATACTCACACATGGAAGAAGCAAGAAATTTATTCTTATCAAGCATATGCCTGGGTCACTCCCATGAGAGAAGCAGAACAGCGGGGAGTGGCCCCTAAACAAAGGCCAGGGAAACTTATACACTTTCTCGCAAAGTACTATGGGTTGCAATAAAATGCTGAAGACGACAGCTGAAGTTGCTGCTTATGTCTGGTCACTCATTGGTCACTAGGGAGGTCTTGGGGTTTCTATAGGCTAACTTCCTTTCCGTGGTTTGGGTCTTAGCTGGAATGATAGTGTATGGACTTTTGATTGGTTGCTGCCACCTGGACTGCAGCTGCATACCTGACTTGATTTATGACCTTGGAGCTTCCTGCAGCTCTTGCTACCTCCCCCCTCTCCTCCAAGTCTTCCTTCTTCCCCAGCTTTCTTATCTTCTTTTATTTTTGCCACTACCACTACTAAAGACATAGCAAGGAAAATAGTAATAAAAGAAATTAGGTTTATAGGGCGGCACCTGTGGCTCAGGGAGTAGGGCACCGGTCCCATATGCTGGAGGTGGTGGGTTCAAACCCAGCCCCAGCCAAAAAGCACAACCCAAAAAAAAAAAAAAAAAAAGAAAAGAAATTAGGTTTATAGCTGCTCCCTCTCAGTAACCTAAACATCTGTACCCTCATATTGATTTGAAATTAAAATATGTATATATATTAACAAAAAGTAGAGGTAGAACTCAAGCCCCCTAACTTCCAGCCCAAAGTTTTACCTCCTAGTTCCACAGAACATTACCCAGAGAAAAATGATAATGGTAACTACCCCAAAGAAAGTTTAGAACTAGATAAGAGATAAGAATGGTATAAGGCAATGCTTCTCAAGCTTCTTATCCTTAGGACCCTTTACATTCACTATTTATCAAGGATCCAAAAGAGCTTTCACTTCTGCAGTTTACATGTATCCATATTTACCATATTAAAAATTACAGTTGAGGCTCGGTGCCTGTGGCTCAACCGGCTAGGGCCCCAGCCACGTACACCTGAGGTGGCGGGTTCGAATCCCCAGCCCGGACCCGCCAAACAACAATGACGGCTGCAACCAAAAAAAATGGCCAGGCGTTGTGGCGGGCGCCTGTGGTCCCAGCTACTTGGGAGGCGGAGGCAGGAGACTCGCTTGAGCCCAGGAGTTGG